GGTATTGATTTTGGATTCAAACAAAATTAAGTATCTTGGACAACTTCAATCTTTTCTCCATCTCTTATGATGTTGCCTATTGGTCCATTGGTGAGGATTTTTGTCTCATTCGTGCTGATAAATATTCCATGATGAAGGCTGTAGTTTTTTATCTGCTTCAATCAGTACTTTATTAAGTCTTCCTCATTTTTGCAAGCAAAGTAAGTTGTATCATCTGCATAATTCAGGTTGTGCCTTCACACTTTTATCAATGTTAGCCATAGTGTATTATGAGCCACATAATCAAATGCCTTTGCATAGTCAATAACATAAATAGACATTCTTCTTGTATTATTTGCTTTTAGCTGTCTGACATCAGCAATGATATTCCTATGTCTTCTTCCACGTCCTGCTTGAACTTCTAGCAGTTCCCTGTGAATATACTATTCCAGCTGTTCTGTGGGTGATCTTCAGTGATATTTTATTTGCATGTGATAATAATGATATTGTTTGAGAATTCCTACATTCTATTGGATCACCTTTCCTGTGATTGAGGGCAAATATTAATCTTGTGCAATCAGTTGAGTACCTGTCCTCCAAATTTCCTGGTTTAAGTTGGTAAGCACGTCCAGGGCTGTGCCTGTTATTAAACATGTCATTAGGTATCACATTAATTCCCAGTTTTGCCACTGCCTTCAGTGCCCCTTCCGCTTCTCACTTCATTCCCACTGGCTCTTGTTCATATGGGAACATTCCATGGCTTAAAATCAGGAAAGGTCTATGTCAGGGTTATATTCTTTCTCTATATCTATTCAGTCTGTATGCTGAGCAAGTCATTCGAGAAGCTGCACTTTGTGAAGAAGGATGCTACATCAGGATCAGAAGAAGACTCATCAACAATCTATGTTTTGCATATAACATAGTCTTGCTTGCTAAAATGAAGAGGACTTGAAACACGTGTTACTGAAGTTTAAGGACCATTGCCTTCAATATGGATTACATCTCAACACAAAAAGAGACAAATACCTTCTCACCACTGGATGGATAAGCAACATCATTTGGAGAAAAAATTGAAGTTGTCATCTTACTGGGATCTATAATCAATACTCTTCGTACCAGCAGTAAGGGATCAGGAACCTTATTGAATTGAGCAAGTGTGCTGTTAGGAAGCTCTCTGGTTGCTAAGGAGCAGTGATCTCAGTTTGAAAATTAAGGTGTGCCTGTTTCAGTTTATGGTCATTTCCATCACTTGTTATGCATCTGAGAGGTGATAATAAATAAAGATGACAGAAGAACAAGTGATCTTGGAGCCACAGTGTTGGAGAAAAGTACTGAATGTATATGTTATGGACTGTGAAAAAAGCCCAAATTATCTTAAAGAAAGTGCAGCCAGAGTGCTCCTTCAAGGATGGTGACAAAGCTATGTCTCCCATACTTAGGACATGTTTCTAGAAGAGACAATTCCTTGGAGAGAGATACCAGCTTAGAAAAAGTGAAGGGTCAGAAAAAAAGGAAGACCTTCAAACAGGTGGACTGACACAGTGAATGCAGCAGTGTGCTCAAGTGTGTCAGAGATGCTGAGCATGGAATAGAACAGGACAAGGTTCAGATCTCTGCTTCATAGGGTCGTTATGAATCATAGTTGGACTTGACAGCACCTAACAATAATAACTAAAATTGCCGATCTTACTCTTGTTTCTTTTAATTGTGTTCACTTTTCAATTCTCATAAGGGAAGCTCTTCATTTTATACAGAAAACTGGGAAATGGTAATTACTTTTCAAAAGTATGGCTGCCATATGGGACATTCTTTTCCTGTTTGTGTGTATATTTCTTCATTTGTTCTTACTATTTTTCTATGCATTAACTGTGTGGTTTGCATGTCTCTTTGTTTTCATTCTCCTTGTGTTCCATTCTCCATTACTTGATTTTACAAAACAGGGCCAGTGTTTTCCACAGTTGAAACAAGACAATCTAAGGCCACAGTTTTAAATATTTCTATTCCTTTGCTATATATTCTCTAAATTGTCTTTCATGAATTCATGTCTTCTGTATTTAAAGAGTGCTCACCGAGCACCCGTGCCTACCAATCAAAGGACGAGCCACATGCCATCCATTCTGTTAGGCTTGCCACCTACTTCCTAAATGAATTCTCTATTCCTGAGGCTCTGTCCTCTGCATGCTGTTCCTATTTTCTCTCTCTTCAGGAGCCTGCATCGCTCCTAATTTGTGTTGGCACTCCCTCCAGCTTGTGCATAAATAGGCATTCATTCACATGATTCTCTGGTGACACAGGGAATATAGAATGAGCATCAGTTTCACAGACAAACACCCACCGTTTAATGTGTTACATTTTGTTTTAAAATAAAAAATGTTTATATTGGCAGGTATTTTCTTACTTCTAAGTTATTTTGGACATAAAGAGTGGGACCAATCGATAATACACTCTCAAACTTACAATCAAAGTTTCACTAGCTGTGCTTGTTGTCTTGAGGAAGACAATAGTGATATTGAGTATTGAGACTATTTCTTTCCCTGAGATTACACACTTAAAAATTTTACCATTGTCAGTACAGTGAAGCAAGCACTTAAGAAGTTCTCCCAGGCCATTTGTTATATGTCAAGCCATTTGTATTATTTGTACTTTATAGGTATAAAGATTGCACTGCCCAGAAGTTGTTACAGATAGAAACCTCTTTTGGAAATCCAATAGTACAGCCCCTATTCTCCCAATTTTTAGTTGTTGTTTTTTTTATTAAGTATCATTGTGAGAGTTTAAGTCGTTCAAACACTAACTGACACAATTGCTTTATTTTCTTATCTTTCTGTACAATTTCAATTGTTGTTCATTTCCTTTTACCTCCTGAGCTTTAGCATATCTAACAGGGGACACAATGATGTGTATCCCTATCATTGGTTTCATTTCAGTTAGTTAGATTTCAGTTAATAAGTGAGAAATAAACATAAATTAAATATTGGATGAATACTTTTACCCTAATTTTAATGTGTCATATTAGCTACTCTTCATGTTTATTGAAACTTTCATGGATCATCATCCTGGTCCACTGTCTCATTTTGTTTCCTGCTCCTGAGGATCCATTTTTGCAATCATATACCCTTCTCTTTTATTGTGAGGGAGCTTGGGTGGCCTAGTGGTAAGGAGTTGTGCTGCCAACCCAAAGCACGTAATTCAAATCCACCAGCTTCTCTGGAGGAGAAGGACTGACAGCCTCCTCCCATGAGATTTGCAGCCTCTGAAAACTCGCTGGCGGGTCTCTTCCAACCATCAGACACATGACAGTAACACCTTCATTTTATTGTAACAGTATTTTTATCATCTCTACCCTCCCCTTGGTCTTCATATCAAATCAGTTCCCAAATCTGTAGTTCTGTCCCAGAGAGGACATCAGTATCGTCTTTTTCTGTCAGAAATTACGTGTTTGTTTTCTGGCCTAATGTCTTTTCAATTCTCTCAGACTGCATTAGCTACTTTTATTAATTGCTAGCCATGTTCCAGCCACCAATTTAATTTTTCTATTGCACTCAAATTATATGCCTAAAGTGAAGATATATTAAAGTCACTTCATTCTTTTTAGCTATCGGGTGGCCATCCATTTGGGGAGGATACAGCATAAAGTTCTTACACGACGTTCCAGGCACCACTGCCTCACTTTCCTCTATGCTCTACCTCTCCTCACCATGAACTTCCAGGCAGGGCATTTCCCAGCACTTGGGACCCCAACATGGAGTGTCACACAGTGGACCTGCATCCCAGGAAGCTCTTCCCACTTTTGTGTACCATCAAAGTTGACAGCTTCCCTCAGTCCCACTCTAAGTGAGTCAACAACGCCCTTGTCTCCCTCGCCAGCATTCTTAATTGAATGCCTTCATGGAATTGAACCACCACATTAGATTTTCTGTTTAGATACCTATTCACTCATCTCTCAATCCCACAGCCTAGTGCAGAGCCTGTGTGTGTACTTAAGAACAAGTGTGTACTTAAAACTGTTTGCTGAATTAGTGTATTAAAGATAGCCTTTTAACAGAGAATTGAATGAACATATCTTCAATATCCTTGTTATCTATCTTTTGTTGATTAGCTCAATCAAGAGTGCAGTGTTAATGAGGTTAAGGGCTTGCCTCCTGGGCGGAGCGCCCATTTTGGGAACTCACCTCCAAAGCCTTTGCTTTTCGAGCTGACTCTGATCCATGGTGACCTCATATCTCTCAGAGTAAGACTGTCCTCTACAGTGTCTCCACTGGATGTGACCTTATGGAAATAGACCACCAGACAGCTTCTCCTGGAGCAACACCTTTGGTTAGTTGTCTTCAAAATCCACAACCTTCCAGTCAATTCTTACTCATTGCCACTCTCCATCAGGTCTCCACGTCTGTAAGCCTTTCCCAGAGAAAACTGCCCGTCATTCTTCCTCAGAGGAACCGTGGACTTGGGCCAGTGACTTCTGGGGAAGCAGCCAACACTAAACACTAAACCACCAGCTCCCTCCACGACCTGTACCTCAATTGTTGTTGCGTGCCAGTTGGAACTTAGATGATCCTCTGGGGTTTTCAGAAGCATTTAACCGCATGGAAGTTACCTGTCCTTCTCTTGCAGAGCAGCTAGTGGATTCCAACTGTGTGCCTTCTGGATTGCAGTGCAGCTTCTTACCACTAAGCCACCAGAGCTCCCTGTAACTCAATTACCTTACTATCAAATACTTTGGTTTAAAGGAAAATGTAGACTAAAGATAATGCCAAGGAAAGTTTATCTCCATATTTAACAAACAGGATTAAACATACACACTGATTGATGGTGTTAGAAGTATCTCATGCTGCCCACAGCGCACGTCTGCGCGCACTCACTCGGTTGACATGGAGATGCTGCTGCATCAGAGCTGGATAAAGTGCCAAGTAAAAAACAGAGTTTTGTGGTGAAGACATTAGCTGTGTGTCCCCAGGTCTTCTGGGATCCCTATGTCTTGAGTCTCCATCTAACCACACACCTCTGTGGTTGTCTTGCAGGTGAGACAATGAGGATCGCCTCTTCAGAGTTTGCAGATGACCCGTGTTCCTCAGTGAAGCGTGGCACCATGGTCCGGGCAGCCAGGGCTTTACTATCAGCCGTCACACGCCTGCTCATCTTGGCAGACATGGCAGACGTCATGAGACTTTTATCTCATCTGAAAATAGTACGTATGTGGGATGTTTCAAAAGGGCCTTTTATGTTGACATAGACTATATATAGTGAACCACAGGACTGTAAGAGAGCTCTTCACTCCTGACCAGATAGATGGCGTGGTTACTTTTACATGCGGTACAGTTGTAGGGTCACTAAGAGTCCTAGTTGACCCTATAGCACCTAACATCATAAAGCTATATTCAGCAATATATTTAGAATTTACCTAAGACTCAGGTTGTTTTATTTCTTCTAAGACAAAACCCAAAATGCAGATTCCCTCCCCTCCTTTCTGGAGTGAACAAGTGGAGTCTTTGGACCAGTCTTCTTTCACAGAAGCTGAAGATGGACACAGATTCTCCTTCTTTACATTGAGAGAAGTTTCAAAACATGTGATTAATTAAGACTTGAGTTAACTGGCCAAATGGCCTCCCAGATCTGTCTTAATAGAAATCAGATGATAAATGCATCTGTGCTGTGATTGCCCGTCTATACACACGTGGAAATTGAGTTCATCTGAACCTGGCAGTAAAAATGGAGCCTCATGCCTACCACTCCTGTGACAGGCACCTGATCCACCCTCAGAAACAGCATGTTAAGAAGCACCTTTCCCCAGATTGCCTATCCTCCTTTACCTAAAAGGGAGTGGGAATAGGATTGAGACTAATAAATTAACTCCGTATCCAATGTCCTTTTTCTGTGCCTTGTGGACTCTCTGATCAGGGATTACTGAGGAGTGATGGCAGGCTAACCACCTCCTGAACGGCCTGTCAATCACTATGCTAGCCGACCTGGTATGCAGTGGCTGCCTGTGACTCTGCCTCTCTACCTGTCTGTTTGGACCAGTACTGTTGACCATTAACTGACGTCCGTGCTAGCGCGCAACAGGAAGTCAATTGTATTCTCCCTGACATAGTAGAGCAAGAGAAGTTGGAACGTGGAGGGAGGGAAGGAGGTTTAGCACAAAATCATGGAAAGGTCAACTCAGCAAGTTTAAGTAGTCCTGTCAGACTGTGAATGGTAAAATTAAAAATCATTGCAGAGGAAGTAACACATTTGTTGTACTTAAAGTGCAGACCCTGTAGCACACAGCGGTGGTAGAATGTTGCCCTCTTGTGGAAGACATGCGCAATTACAGTCTCCTAGTGTCATCTCTGAGTTCATTCGATGTAACATACCAAAGTTACTACCTCTCAGCCCTGCAAAGTAAGGACAATGTTTTAGCAATTCGCGACTAATGAAAATGAAAACGAAAACTTAACCCATTTCATACCGTTTCCAAGTCTATGAATCTCACAGGAAACATATTAGCATATCTTTGAGGCAGCTGGTGAGTATGAACTCACAATTACTGTTACCCACCAAGTGTTTAATCACTGCCCTATCAGGGCTCGTAAGACATATACTTCTGCGTCATAACATCATTGTCCTTTTCTACTAGAGCACATTCTCTCATAAATAATAACTGCTGTCCTCAGGCATCTATTTGTTTCTAGCTCAGGTTAAATAAAATATTTTTATATATAGTGTTGGGATGAATTAGAAATTACATCTCTCTTGAGTTTTTTTCCTAAACAAATAATAAATTTCTCTACTTGTCTTATGGATTAAGGAAATAATGAGTTTCTCTGTCTTGTTGTTGTTATGTGCCGTTGAGTCACCTGTCATGGATTATAAAACATAGATTTTTTTTTTAGAAAAAAGAGGGAAAAAATGGATGAATATGAAGCACAGGTGATTTTTAAGAATAAGAAAGTTGATGGTTGTAATGACTCCTAGTTTCTGCTTGTTTAGATTAAGTACTGCCCTATATATCTTCCTACAATGGTGACTAGTGTACAACTGTCTTTAAGCCTTGCAAAACATATTTTATGTTTTATCTTTTTCAGTCATGTATCAGATTTTATTGGTATTCTTTCAAGACATATATATCATCTCTCTCTCTCTCTCTCTCTCGCCATATATATATATATATATATATATCTCGATATGTAGATATATATAGCTCTCGATCTTGACCGAGATTGAGATCAAAATAGAGTTAGACATAGAGATATAATTTGTTGCTATTGTTTGCCATTGAGTCAGAACTGACCTATAGCTGACACTTCAGCATGCAGGAAGAGATTGCCTACCCTTTGTATCTACATAAGTCATTATGTGCTTTCAAGTCAAAACTGACTCAGAACTGACCCTCCAGTGGGTTTTCAGATGCTGTAAATTGCACAAGAGAGAGGAGATTGCCTGTATTTCCTCTGTGAAGCATATGGTAGATTCAAACTGAGTGCCTTTGGGTTGACAGGACAAACTATGCCAATAGGCTACTTGATAGATAGATGATTAGATAGATAGATAGATAGATAGATATGGATCAAACAGCTAGAAAGCTCTGATTGGGATAGGGTTAAGAAGTTGTGTTGCCAATCCATCAGCTGCTCGGAGGGAGAAAGCTGGACAATCTTCTGTGTAATTCAAAGACTGAGAAAACCCGCTGAAAGGTCAGCTATGAATTGGTTCTGACCTGACGGTACACAACAACAACAAAGAGAAGTCTAAAAATATACATATAGATCTGGATGTATATAGGGAGACTTACAGAGAGGCGAGGGAGAGAGAATATAGACAAAGACACGCAGAAAGAGCTCACTTCTTGCTCAGTAATCCTGAGAGAATTGCCTTGTTAACACAAAGGCCATGGCTCTGTGAAAATTTAAACCCATTAGGGGTCTTTTGAGCAGCCCAGTGGAAAACTTATCTATCTAACACACACACACATGCACACACGTAGTTATATATTGTTGTTGTGTGTCGGGGAGTCGGAACCAACCCTTAGCTGATCCTCTGGCAGATTTTCAGAGGCAGTTAATCACATGGGAGGAGATTATCCATCATTCTCCCACAGAGCGGCTGGTGGCTTCGAACCACATGCCTTTGGGATTGCAGCGCAACTTCTTTCCACTAGGACACCAGAGCTCCCTTAGTTATATATACACATATATACTTTTTTTTCCCACTTCTGAGTGACTTATAGAAACATAGATGAGTTCTTTTCTTATCAGAAGTATCTGTTCATGTTTTCCCCATCAAGAGTAGAGCAACTGAATAGAGGATAATTTGTAAAATGCCCACTTTTATCTTACACTCACACCCTAAGCTTCATTACTGGTACTTTGAGTAATCAGGAACAGATGTCTTTCAGCCTCTAAAAATGAGTGAAGCATAGAGTCTCTCAATTGATGTGACTGTTACATTTGTAATACTTTAGAATTATGAAACGCTGGTAGCCTATTGTAGGAGGATGGGCAGTCTCCTCCTGAGTGATTTACTGCCTCTGAAAACACACTGGAGAGCTAGCTATGGGTTGGTTTTGACTTGATGACATACAAGAACTCAAAGACATACAAGAACCAAAGTTGCACTGCTTGCCCTAAAACCGATGGTTTGAATTCACTAGCTGCTATATGGGAGAAAGATGGAAAATATCCTCTTTTGTCAGGGGAGATTTAAATTCAGAGATTTAAAGTCTCTGAAAACCTACTGACAGGTCAGTTATGAATCACTTCCAACTCAAAGGCGCAAGATAGCCACAACCTTGAAATTGCACTTGGAAGCCTCCATTTATAGCTCCCCCCGTTATGTTCTGTGCTCCATTATCATGCAAGTATTTGCTTGTGCTTTTGTATTGAGCTATTTGGTAAGTCTATTGTGAAAAGACTGACATAACTATAAGTGGTTCTAGCCATTGCTGTTTCCATTCCAGGGCACAGTGATGGGACAGTGGATGACACATGGTTCCAAACAGAACAAGCACCCAAGTAGGGCTTTAATGTAATCCACATTATAACCCTAGGGACACTTGCACATCAAGTATCATTTACAAACATGGACTTATAATCAATTTTATTGTTGCTGTGGCTGGTAAATAATTCCATAGGCAGATATTTGGTAGACCCTGAAATCAGTAGGCATTGTCAATGGAGTGGGTGTCTCTTGAGTGTTTTAAAGGAATCATGCATGTTAGTCAGTGCTCCTGAAAAGGACTATTTGTTTCCTCCAACCTCTGAATGAATGCAATCAAATCAGATTGTCAATTCTTAGCTTTGGTGATGACATTTCAGATAAACTCATCTAGACACTTGTTTATCAGGGATATAAACACTTTACCATCCCCCTTTTTCCTAGACGGTAAATCACATAAATAACTAGATTATTAATCTTTCTCAGAGCCACTGGTGAATTCAAACTGCCAGAGAAACGGCACCCTGAAATCACCAGAGCTACCCTGGGTTAGGTCCTGGAATAAAGATTGCTGTGATTGTCTCATCATTTCTCTATAAAAGTGGAATGTTGTTGTTATTATTGTTGTATGTTCTGTAAAGTCAGAACTGGCCCATAACTGACCCTCTTGCCAGTCTTCAGAGGCAGTTAATCGCACGGGAGGGTATTGCTCATCCTTCTCCCAAAGAGTAGCTGGTGGCCTCAAACCACCTGTCTTCAGTATTGCAGCTCAGCTTCTTGCCACTAGGCCATCAGAGTTCCCTAATAAGAGGAATAGCAAATAGAAAGCAATAGCCCCTTAGCAAACGTTCCCTGAAAGTTCAATTCTCTGACTTCATCTAGTATTGTCGTTAAATTGGCTTTGAGCACGAACAAGACAGGTTCATTTTGATATCATGTATGCCTTTTGCACATCCAGTCCCAGTTAGCCTTGTGTGGCCTTGGGAACTTCTCATTTCAGGAGTCAGCTTTTTATCCCACCAGCTCTGCTCTATTGCTGTGTTTGAAAAGCAGAAGTCATTTAGACTAAGGCACTTTTTAGTCTCTGAACACAAATGTAGAAATTACTAAGTATATTCTTATCTTTTCTGTCAGAGGTGTGAAGGCACTAACATCATGAAAAGGAATTGTCTGGAAATTATGGATTTATCCTTTCAAAAATAAACACTGGGTGACATCTTTATGTGAAAGACACTCGGCCAAGCAAAGTACCTTCAAAGATGAATTGTGCATGAT